AAAGAAGGGAGGTAGACGACCGCACTCCAAGTACTCCAAATGCCCGGCATGACGAAGAATAGTTGATGATCTAACTACATGGCCGGTAGTGAATGAACAGACCATGTGAATGAGTAAATTGCCCCCATCCCCTCCCGCTCCCCCCATCCCCTCCCGCCCCCCATCCCAGGCGCTCGAGTACCTGCTGCGGCCCTGCTACGCGCCCCGCGACGCCGACGCCCTCTCCTCCTTCGTCCACGCCTTCGCCGCCGCCTCGCGCCGGTACAGCAGCAGTCGAACTGGTCCCTGACCTGTCCCTGACACGTCCCTGACACGTCCCGATAGGTACGCGCAGCAGCAGACAAAGTGGTTCCGCTCCGAGCCCTCCTTCGAGTGGGTCGACGTCGACTGGTCCGCCCCCGAGGCTGCGGCGGAGCGCGTGCTCGCCTCGGTGCGCAAGCCGCGGCTCGAGCACGAGGACGACCTCGCGGCGCCGCGCCAGGCGGAGATGCGCGCCGTCAAGCCAGACGAGGGCAAGGCGATGAAGCGGTACGTCGAGCGGCACGACGCGCTCGAAGACTCGGCGGTGTGCGAGGCGCTGCTGCGCGAGGCGGACGCATGCTGCGAGGCGCTGCAGCACGCGCGTGCCGACCTGCTCGCCGCCGACGAGGCGCTCGCCGAGCGCTACCCGTGGCACGCCGCGGACGCCGGCGGCGAGGGCGGGACGGGGAGTGCGGCACGCGCAGCTCAAAGAATGTCCGGCTGGAGTGCGGCACGCGGAGCCGAGGCCAGGGAGCCCGGCGGTGCTTCGTGAGTGCGAGACCGCGAGTCTCTTGTGTGGACAGTATGTGGGGAGGGTGGACCGGAGGGGGTGGGAGAAGTTTCCTTTTTTGTGTGCACAACCATACGAATAGAACGAAACGCGGACGAGCACGAGGCACGAGCGCACGTACCGCCGCGACGAACACACACTACGACCAGTACGTAACTAGACTCAAGACTGGGTCCCCCGCGCCCCGGGTCCGCTGTGCTGTGAGCGCCGGCTGCGCGCGCATCGCGCCATCGGAGATAAAGCCGTAGCTGTGAGAACTGAGAAGTGACTGTAGTGTTCGAGAGAGTGCGCGCACCGCATAGAGAGAGGGATCAGTGTTGTGTCCGGAGTGCGGAGAGGAGGGAAGATGCCTAAGCCAGAGTACTGGCTGCTGCACAAACGCTGTAGACTTGAGGCAGAGTGAGATGCACTCTCTGCAAGGCTAGTAAGAGAGGCCTAGGAGTAATAGTCATGCATCATGCGCAAGGGCATTTTGTGGAGGGCGGCTAGAGCCACGCGCCACTGTCGTACTTGGATCGCCTCTCCGCGCAGCGTGCGAGGACGCCGATGCGCGGCCTCACGACGGCGCGGGAGAGGCGGGCGTGAAGAGGCGGAACGCCTCGGCGCGAACGGCGACGTCAAGCGGCGTGAAGCCGATGATGTCGCCGTCCACCATCAGCCGCGCGGGTGTGTCCGTCTCGAGCCGCACACGGCTCGCCTGCTGCACGTTGAGCAGACTGGTGGCGTGGACGTGCTTGCCGCCGCCCTTGATCATCTCGTCCACCTTGGCGGCGGTGGCGATCGAGCGGAGCGGCCGCGTGGTGTAGGCGAGGTCGAGCAGGCCGTCGTCGAGCTGCGCGTACGGTGCGAGGCGGTGCCGGACGCCGGTGTGCTTGTTGACGAAGCAGGAGAAGAGGAAGAGGTCCTCCATCTCTTGCGGCGAGCCTCCGTCCACGCTGAGCGAGCAGGGCAGCTTCTTGCGCCACGGCAACTTGAGGATCTCCGTCTTAATGCTCACAGAGTAGCGCATCGAGCCGAGCCAGCGCCGGCGCTCGGCCACCGCGTTGGCATCCGGTCCGAACCCTGCCATGACGGTGTTGATGCTGCAGCGTCGGAGCGGCTTCCCGTCAAGGCCAGTCATGTCCAGCTGCTGGCAGTCGACGGCGCGAGAGCGGCCGCCGACGATGGCTTCGACGGCGGCATGGACGGCAGCGCCGACCGCGGCGCCCGACGCTGGCACCCCGAGCACCTCGCGCATATACGAGTTGCCCGTGCCCGCAGGGATGAATCCAACTGTGGTCCTCGCGGCCGCGCCGTCGTCGCGAGAGAGAAACCCATCGAGGACCTCGCCAAGGGTACCGTCGCCACCCATGACAAGAAGGGCGTCTACGGAGGAGAGGTCCAAAGTCCGCCCAAGCTCCACGCCGTGGCCTGCGTGCTTTGTCGTCTCCACCGTCACCGCGATTCCGGCCTGCTTGAGCAGTGGAAGCACGATGGTGTCGGCCAGCTTCGCAGCCCGCTTCTTGCCGCCAGCGGGGTTGTAGACGAGGAGCGCGGATGTGGGCGGGTTTGGCTCAGAGGCCGGCTTTTTGAAGGGATCGAGGAGCGGAGGGGCCTTCGGCATGTACCGAGCGTACCGCGTACACAGCCGATTCGTGGCAAGGAGAGTCCAAAAGAATTTTAGTATCAAACTCCCTCCCACAACACTGGACGGCTAGCGCACCACACTCCTCTCCTTAAAATCCCTGTGTGGTGGCGGCGTGCCGTTCTCCCATCCCTCCCTTGGGGTGTGTGTTTTCTTTCTTTCTTTTACACTGGGCAAAAGAAAAAACGCACCTCGGAGCGCGGCAAGCGGCGTGGCGTGGAGCGGTTGAGCATCCCTCCGGGGGCCCCTCTGCGCCGGGGAGGCGTTGTTGGAGGCTAGGACGCAAGCGTCCGTCGCCCTTTTCAAACTCGGGGCCCACTCCGCTACGCTCCGACCCGAATTTGGAGGGCCTAAAAGTTTAAGGTGTTGCTGCGCAAAAGGGGTCGGACACAGGGCGCAGCTCATGCCCCAAGAGCTAGAAGGGGAGCTCGAGAGAACGACTACCCTGTCCCGTTATTGCGTACACCAACACCACAAAAGCTCTCTCTCTCCTGTCTCCTCACTCAGGGGGGTCACAACTACCGAGTCCCGCGACTAGCTGCCACGTTGCCGACCGAGAGCGGATCTCCTCCTGCTCCGCAAGGAGGGTGGCCAAGGCCAAAGTCTTGCCGGAGCCGCCGGGCGCGTTGACGACTTGGAGAAGGTCGCCCTTGCACTTGTACTTGTAGAGATGCTCGAGGGGGTGCTTTGTGGGGCGGTGCGCAGCCAGGCCAGCAGTGAGGGGAGGCGCACCCTCACTCTCCTCGGTTGCAGAGCTCGTCGGAGGCTGCGGCACGACGGGAGGGTCGCGATAGCAGTCCTCGGGCGAGCCGACGCGCATGTCCAAAACCAGCGCTGGGACTCGTTGTGACGGCAGACGCCGGCTGCCTCTCCAACCGCTTCTGCAGCGTCCTTCTTTGCCCGGTGCATGGGCTCGATCCGATTCCGCAGCGTGTCGTCCCCAGCGGCGGTGCTGCGCGGGAGGCGGCCGCGGGCACGCTGGGCTCGATCAGGAGCTTTCCCTCAGTTGCTCCGAAAGCACGGAATTGGCGGACGTTCTTGGCTTCAATTTTACGAATCTTGTCAACACAATCGAATGTCTGGCACCAGCTGAAGGATTGCACGGCTCACATCACGCAGTTTGTGCACGGTATTCGGATTTTGCTATTTGTTCGTGTGGGGGTATATTGCAGATTTGTCAATGGTACCGCGTCTGCGACGCGGGCGCCTTGCGGGCAGAGCCCTTAGCCACCCTTTATATCTTGCGCGATCAAAATTAAATGATAAAGCAGCAGGGAGAACGACGAGAGTGGGACGACCGCGAGGTGGCATGAAAAGGTTGCAGCGAGAATCGGCGAGGGATTGCGCGGAAGAGAGATAGGAAGAGGCGGGCGCCGCCCAACCCCAAGCGCCAAGGCGCCTCTGGGGGGAGGCGGGGGCCCCCGGAGGCACCGTGCGCCGCGCAGCAGTGCGGAAACGGGGCTGCCTCCGGCGCTCATACACATACTCGCTCATACTACCGACTTCCCGATTAAGTACGGTTAAGTAGAGGGCAGATTTGGAGAGATCTTGAGGAGTACATACAGATAGACCCTCCAATCATGAGAAACCTCCAACCTGATCGGTCGTACTGACCGCCGACAGATCACTCCAGACAGCAGACAGGCCGACGTCTGCACGCGGCCGGCCGGGCGAGAGGCTTGACACGATCCGACCCTGCGATCCTGATGCTGCTGCTCTAGCTATCAGACATGCACTGCTGACTGCTGCCACAATGTGCGACCTGTCCCACTTGGCGGCCTTCCCGGTCAGTGGTGAGGCGCAGTTCAGAGCTGTCGATGGCGCGACGCCGCACTGGTCCCACATTGGTGACATGAGACACCACGTTTGCCGGAGGGTCCAAGAGAGAGGCACTGGCGCTGTCCTGAGAAGGTACATGGTCCCTCTTGACTGCCCATGCGCGCGAGGCTGTGTAGGCATAGCCTCGAGAGTGCCAGCAGCCAATCCGAGGCAGTTTGTGACGCGCATTGCGTCAGAAGCGTGCACGCGATGGAAGGACACCTTCCTACTGGCCGTACGCATCAGGTCGTCACTGAATGCTGGATACTAAGGCCGCGAGCTATGCAGGTGGTCAATTGTGCAGCAGGGCACGGTCAGCAGCGCCGACAGGCTGTCGCAAGGCGTGATAGCATGGCCGCAAGTACGGTACGGCGAATTCCCACGAAACAAGTAAAATAAAGCCAACACCCTCAGCGGAGCTGGGAAGAGGACCGCCGCAAGCGGCGTGGCGTGGAGCGGTTGTGCATCCCTCCGGGGGCCCCTCTGCGCCGGGGAGGCGTTGTTGGAGGCTAGGACGCAAGCGTCCGTCGCCCTTTTCAAACTCGGGGCCCACTCCGCTACGCTCCGACCCGAATTTGGAGGGCCTAAAAGTTTAAGGTGTTGCTGCGCAAAAGGGGTCGGACACCGGGCGCAGCTCATGCTAAGAGCTAGAAGAGGAGATAGAGAGAACAACCACCCTGTCCCGTTATTGCGTACACCAACACCACAAAACGCTCTCTCTCTCCTGTCCTCACTCAGGGGGGTCACAACTACCAAGTCCCTCGACTAGCTGCCACAGGGCGCAGCTGCCACAGGGCGCAGCTGGAGACGCTCCCCCTCAATCGGCATCCACCCCCACCCGCTCCAGCCCCACTTCTGCTGCCGAGAGAGCTGAATCGAAGCAAGCGAGCCATTGCATCTTGGCGTGCTCCTGGAGCGCGGCTTTCTGCTTGGCGGCCACGAGCACGGCGGAGTCGGCGTCGTAGCGCGCAATCGTTCCCGCTCATCGCCCATTCCTCCCACGTGACGTGTGTCGGCCGCGATTCGATGTCGCCACCTTCATCGCCAACGAGGACTCCCTCGACTGCAGGGGGGCTCCGGCGCGGGGAGGGACTCCGCCTGCTGCGCTGGCCGACTGCGCCCTCCTCCTCCATGGGCTCGATCCGATTCCGCAGCGGCGGTGCTGCGCGGGAGGCGGCCGTGCGCCGCGGGCACGTCAGCGGCTTCCCCTCAAGTGGGCGAAAGCACCGGACGTTCAGCTTTCAACTTTACGGATGTCTTGGCACCAGCTGAAGGCTTGCACGGCGCAGATCACATGGTTTCTGCACGGTATTCGGATTTTCAGTGTATGTAGCTCTTACGAACATACCCGTAGGTGAACTGCTGACAGGGTTTGCGATGAGGAGCGATCCGAACATGGTATTCGGGTGATTAGATCACTACCGCCGAAGCGCAAGCGCTTGGAGCAAGGGAACTGCCACGTATGGGTCCCAGACTAGCACCCCACCTCGCGGGCCGACGTTCTGGCCCAGCGAGGCTGCTGCGGAGCACTCGGGGCCGATGTTCTGGCCCAGCGAGGCCGCTGCGGGGCACCCGGCGGCTCGGTTCGCTCATCAGCGCAAACTCGGTCGAGCAGAAAGTAAGGTGTGTGTGCAAAGGCGGCGCGGCACGGTAATTTTGCTATTTGTTCGTGTGGGGGTATATTGCAGATTTGTCAATGGTACCGCGTCTGCGACGCGGGCGCCTTGCGTGCAGAGCCCTTAGCCACCCTTTATCTTGCGCGGTCAAAATCGAGCAAGGAAAAAAACGGGGAAAAATCGGGGTGGGGGCTGGGGGCGTGGGGGGGCTGGGCGACGCCGACGGCTATACTGGGCTGGGTTTTTAGGCATTGTGGGGTTGGCACTCCCATCGACCCTCATGACCTCCTGCGGTCTCTGAGATGGACACCAGTGGGTGTGGGACCACAGCCAGGATACACTCGAAGGCTGGGTAAGCAGTAGAGGTCGATACTCGACGCGTACCACATGGTCTGTGTCGCTGTCGGCACGCTGTCAACAGGACGTCGAGCGACACCGGTGGCAGTGCCACCCAGGAGTGGTCGGGCGGTCTCCCGTCATGAAAGAGCCACAATGTGATCCGTATGATGATTCCTGACAACCGCCTCAGTCAACTTTTGTCACAGTTCCCGCTCTGAGAGGAGCTGCGGGTCAGTTCGACAGCTGGAGCTGTGTCGCCGGCGTGCGGCGGCCTGCCTCCGGAGGTGCCTCTGAGGCGGACATTTTTTGGTCACCGTGAGAGCGAACGCGTTCGAATTTTCACTCCGGAACTTCAACTCTGCACGCACACCGGCCAGGGCTACAATAGTGCCAGTGAGGCGGAGGCGCGAGTCGGAAGGCCGCGACCGTCAAGTGTTCCCTTCATTTTCCTACTAGAGTGAGGCCCTTGACGGGCCCCGCCCCCAATGGGGCGGGGTTGAATGGGCTAGCGCTGGCGTGGCGTTGACATGAGCACAAAGTTGCTAATGTGCGTAGACGAACAAACACAGAGTAGGGTTGAAATCGTCCACGTAAGGCTTAGGGAGTGCTTGGGGTGGCCTCAGGCATCCCCAAGGGAGTCGCAGCGGTGCCCCATAAGCAGCTTAGCGATTGTCGAACCTCGAAGCGCGTTCGTTTGAAGAAAGGCACACGGTACTATCGGGCCACCGGAGAGTCACCGGTAAACTTCGACACTTAGAGGGGTGAGAGCATGCATTATTGTGGCATATCATGTCACATAAGGTCGAGCTTGACCGCAGAAGCATCAAGAAGCGGATACTCCAACTCGACTGTGCCGGCAAACTGCCTCCTCACGCCGGCCGGCTGCCAGCAGCCGTCGCGGCCCGTGGCGTGCACCAGAGAGGGAGAGAGGTCGAGTCCGCATGGCTCAGGCCGGCCAGAAGGTGTGTGGCGACATCACCGTGGCAGGAGTGCGGAGAAGATCTCGCCGAACGCGAGCAGCGGAAGGCCGAAGTGTGCCAGCGCAAGAGCCTCGCGAACGGGTGCAGAAGGAGCTCGCCGTGACACGATGCCGGGCGGTGGTGGTGCTCTGGCGGCTGTGCACAGTGGGAAAGGTCAGGCTGCAACAGTGTAGCACGATGGTAGTGCCCCGCTGCAGCCTGGCCTGACATGCACAGGGCGAACAGAGACCTTGCTATCGCCTGGCGCTCGTCTGGGCAAACTTTGACCGCCGCCCGGCTCGCCACGAGCACGCAGCGACAAAATGATGACCGTGTCGAAGTTGAGGCTGGTCGAGAGGAAGAGGCTGCCGTGCGAGCCGGCAACTGGCTGGCTCGGCGTGAACGGCCGGCGGCGACTTTTTGCCGAAGAGCGTGCCTGCCGAAGAGCGAGTCTGACTCAAAGTGCACGGAGTGGGTGCCGCCGACCGTCGGGAAGAGTCCGATGGGTGCCAGGAGGATCCAGAGAGCGATGAAGGCGCAAATTGCGCCGCCGAAAGCGGCGGTAGAGGCCAGGACGTGCGCGTGGGCCGGTCGGGCCACGTCCCGGGGCGAGCGATCGAGGGCCGCGGGGCTCGCCCCGCCGGCCGAGCGGTGCGAACGGCCGGTCGCCCGCTTCGGGTTGGACCCGCCGGGCGGTCCGGCGGCGGATGGCACGGCCGGGCGGGCCCCGGGAGGCAGGCGGGGCCGCGACAGGCGGCAGGGCAGAAAATCCCATTTCGGAGAGTGGTTGGACAGACCCGGTTGCTACTTTCAATGATAGGACTAGAGTGAGGCCCTTGACGGGCCCCGCCCCCAATGGGGCGGGGTTGAATGGGCTAGCGCTGGCGTGGCGTTGACATGAGCACAAAGTTGCTAATGTGCGTAGACGAACAAACACAGAGTAGGGTTGAAATCGTCCACGTAAGGCTTAGGGAGTGCTTGGGGTGGCCTCAGGCATCCCCAAGGGAGTCGCAGCGGTGCCCCATAAGCAGCTTAGCGATTGTCGAACCTCGAAGCGCGTTCGTTTGAAGAAAGGCACACGGTACTATCGGGCCACCGGAGAGTCACCGGTAAACTTCGACACTTTGAGGGGTGAGAGCATGCATTATTGTGGCATATCATGTCACATAAGGTCGAGCTTGACCGCAGAAGCATCAAGAAGCGGATACTCCAGCTCGACTGTGCCGGCAAACTGCCTCCTCACGCCGGCCGGCTGCCAGCAGCCGTCGCGGCCCGTGGCGTGCTCCAGAGAGGGAGAGAGGTCGAGTCCGCATGGCTCAGGCCGGCCAGAAGGTGTGTGGCGACGGCACCGTGGCAGGAGTGCGGAGAAGAGCTCGCCGAACGCGAGCAGCGGAAGGCCGAAGTGTGCCAGCGCAAGAGCCTCGCGAACGGGTGCAGAAGGAGCTCGCCGTGACACGATGCCGGGCGGTGGTGGTGCTCTGGCGGCTGTGCACAGTGGGAAAGGTCAGGCTGCAACAGCGTAGCACGATGGTAGTGCCCCGCTGCAGCCTGGCCTGACATGCACAGGGCGAACAGAGACCTTGCTATCGCCTGGCGCTCGTCTGGGCAAACTTTGACCGCCGCCCGGCTCGCCACGAGCACGCAGCGACAAAATGATGACCGTGTCGAAGTTGAGGCTGGTCGAGAGGAAGAGGCTGCCGTGCGAGCCGGCAACTGGCTGGCTCGGCGTGAACGGCCGGCGGCGACTTTTTGCCGAAGAGCGTGCCTGCCGAAGAGCGAGTCTGACTCAAAGTGCACGGAGTGGGTGCCTCCGACCGTCGGGAAGAGTCCGATGGGTGCCAGGAGGATCCAGAGAGCGATGAAGGCGCAAATTGCGCCGCCGAAAGCGGCGGTAGAGGCCAGGACGTGCGCGTGGGCCGGTCGGGCCACGTCCCGGGGCGAGCGATCGAGGGCCGCGGGGCTCGCCCCGCCGGCCGAGCGGTGCGAACGGCCGGTCGCCCGCTTCGGGTTGGACCCGCCGGGCGGTCCGGCGGCGGATGGCACGGCCGGGCGGGCCCCGGGAGGCAGGCGGGGCCGCGACAGGCGGTAGGGCAGAAAATCCCATTCGGAGAGCGTGTGGTCCGACCCGTCTGCTTCTTTCAATGATAGGGACTATCCCTCGAGACCATGCTCCTCGGCAACCAACCCGTCCCCGCACCCTCCAACGAGGTCAGCATCGTCGGCGAGGTCACCAACGGCATCATCATCGCCGCGAAAGCTGCCGTAAACACGCTCTTTTTGTCGCAGCGGCGCGGCGCGCTGATGGCTCTCCAGATAAAGAACCTGAAGAAGGCTGCGCTGGCGTACCTTGTGTGGGACCTACGCGGCGAGCTGGCGGGCGCGCGACTCGAGCAGGCGGTCGTGTACGGCAAGAGGCTCGAGACGCACGCGAGCGGCGTGGACAAGGAGTTGGGCAAGTGCAAGCGGCGGCAGGCGGGCGCGGAGGCGCTTCTCGCTGTCGTTCCAGAAACGTTGCAGGACGTGCCCACGCCAGAGGAGCCCGCGGTCGAGGAGGAGCCGGCGGTCGAGGACCTGCCGGCCAGCGACTCCCGTCCCGACGACGCGTCTTCGGACAGCGATCGGGAAAGCGTCTTCGAACGTCGGGTGACCCGTCGGATGATCGACGCGGGCCTGAACGAGGCGCAATTCGATGATATGCGGAACGTTTACGGGATTCAGCTCGCCCACGAGGACAAGTGCCACGAGTGTGCCAAGCTGCAGGCTCGGGCAGTGAAACTGTATGATATGCTCCTCCCGTACCTCGAGCGCGACTGGGTGCCACTGGAGGAGGCATTCCAGCGGCTCGACCTTATAGCTGCTCGGGAGCGCTCGGGTACCCTGGGTCGTGGGTATGATAGTGACACAACATATGTGTGATACACTACCAAAACAGGGCCGCGGGGGGGCGTTGGGGGCCGCTGGAGGGCCGCTAGACCCTTCCCGGGCCCCTCCGGGTGGGTCCGGGTGCACCCGGACATCTCTGCTGTGTTAGGATCATCAGAGGTGTCGAGCGGTGTCGAGCGGTGTCGAGCGGTGTCGAGGGGTGTCGAGCGGTGTCGAGGGGTGTCGAGGGGTGTCGAGGTGTCGAGTTTGGCACCTTGACACGGTCGAGCATGGTTTCAGCCTAGGGGGTGTCGAGGGGTGTCGAGGGGTGTCGAGGGGTGTCGAGTTGGTCGAGTTGGCATGGGGTGTCGAGGTGTCGAGTTGGTGTCGAGTTGGTGTCGAGGTTTGGTGTCGAGGTGTCGAGGCCAGGGCTCAGGGTCGGCGTTGAACGCGGCCGCATCTGCGTACGGCTTGCCCGGCCCGATTTCCTCCTCGTGTGGTTCGGCCCGCAGCTTCTTGGGCAGAGCGCGGCGGCACGTGGACGGTCGAGGCGCCGGCCCCGGCCATGCGGCGGCTCGATCCACCTTGCGATCGACTTTGGCAAAGCGATTGCAGCACGGCCAAGAAGAAAACTCGAAGAAGAAGAAAATGCGTGTACTAACTCATCTGCAGAACCTCGGCGCACGAGCAGCATGTTCCACACTTGCAGCGTCACACCCAAGACCAAGAGACAACAAACTATCTCTCTCTCCCAAGAGGGAGGATCTACGCCACAAACACACATACTCGACACAGACCCTCTCTCTGACTGTCGACGGGCGCCAACCCGACACCACTACCCGGCGCCAGGCGCCGGCAGTGATAGTCGCCACTCACGCGACGCAGCTTTCCTCGCGGCACGTGATGCAGTGGTGTGGCGCTGTCGGTGGCAGCACGTGACTGGTGCGCTTGGCGCCTGGACGCAGCGCGACGGCCGTGTGCGCTGACGAGCGCCAGCGGCGCATTGCCAGCACGATCACGACGCACCGTGGAGTGAGCTTGGGCCGGGCCGAAAGCGGGGAATGTGTGGGAGTGAGGCGTGTGGGCCCACCGAGAGGCGCCGCACCGCGGCTTCAAAGGGACATGCGCCAGCGAGGGAACTGGAGCGAGGGAACTGGAGCGCACCGCTCGCCACAAAGCGCAGCCCGGCGCGCCGACACAGCGAGAAGGCGCGCGCCGCCGACCAGCGGCGCCTCGCAACAGTACATTCCGCCCACGGGCAGCAGAACGCTGGGTAGTCCTGAATCAGAGTCTGATTGCATCTCCGACGCGTGGCTCAGACGCGTGCGCGACGCCGCTGGGTCCGTCCGTGCGCCTGGGAGTGTGTGGACCGGCAGGTGAAGCTGTGGCGGCTGGCTCACCGGCGACTCGCTCGACGCTCGCAGCACCCGGCACCGAGGAAACGGCGCAGCCGGTTCGCATCGCAAGCCACCGCTCAGGCCTGCTGGCAGGCTGCTGCGGACCCTGCGGCATCCGCCGGCCAAGCGTGGAGCCGCCAGGGGGGCCAGGGGCCGACCAAAACGATCGTGCCTGGGCAAATTTTCGGGGCGGACAGAAATCGCGGGAGATGGCTCTCCTTCTTAGTTCTTTCAATGATAGGGACAATCGCTGTGAACCCAGCCACGTATAGCAACACACCCCTGTTCCTTCCAGTGAAATGTAATCCCTGTGTGGTGGCGGCGTGCCGTCCTCCCATCTCCCTCTTTTGGGTTGTATGAAATCATAGTTATGTTAGGGGCAAACACTGAAAACGTAACTTGATCGGGGCGCGGTTTTTTTTGGACTAGACTGCTCGGGGGAGGTGGGCGAGTGATTGGGTAGCTTTGGGGCCACCGAAAATAATGAGAACCGCCCCCTATATCTCGCCAAATCTCGATTTTTCGCGGGAATGGGCGCTTCTCAGCCCCGCGCGAGCTACAGTGACTCCCCAGGGCTTGTCCCGTGGCCCAAAGTGGTACCCCGAGCTCCGCCACGAGCGTGGGCAATCAGGAGACACCCACAGTCACGGCGGGCGAGGAGTTGGGTGACGGCCAACTGTCGATTACGGCGCCTCTGGAGCCTCCTGTATCGTCGGTTCGGCTCGAAGATCGTGCCGCATCCGCATGTAAACCACCTCCGCGCCCCCGCTGGCACATGTCCGCATTGCCCGAGCCTGGGAGAAGTTCCCAGTGCCCGGAGGCTGCACAGGTCCGCGAAACGCTGGCGCTGCAGCTCCCGGCGCGCACCCCAGATTCGCGAGGAAAACAGCCGAAAACGGGTCGCGCCGCGATCGACCCTCAGCGAGCCCAGGCGAGCCTGGTAATCCCACCCGGTGGTAAGCGCACGTCCTCCGCGTAATCTAGCGCGCTGTGCAGCCCGCCAGTGCATGGCGCCGACCTGGGCCGCGACTGGTCGATCTCGCCGCGATCTCGCCATCCAATTCTCGGTCAGGTGTAGTGGATCACCTTAAAATCCTGGATTAATTCCTGAGCCCACCTGGCCCCACCAGACGGGTAGCACGAGGCGCCCGGGCCACTTTTTAGCGCCTCCCGAGCCTCCCGGCGCCTCCTGTGGCCTCCTGAACCCTCTCCCCCTCAGCCTCTCTCGGCGACGTGGGGAGCGGCTGCCGTCCACGGCTCGCACCGGCTCTTCCAGCGGCTCCACGCTTGCCGCCTGTGACGCCCGCGCCACGCACTGCCACGCGGCCGCTCGAGAGAGCGGTCGACGCCCATACTGCTGGGCGTGGCGCTCTATCGGTCGACGCTTCGGCGTCGCTGCTTGGTTGGGGACCCGTGCCTCGACGCGGCGGCGCGGCCGAGTACGGCTCGGTGGCACAGCGCGTCGCCACGGATAAGATGCGGCCACAAGCGGCTGGGGAAGCTCCAAGAATGTTTCGTTCTACTTGCAGGAGAGGTCCAAGCAATTCGAGTGACTGCATGGCTCTTCGCGTCGAGGGATGCGTCCAAGATCGGATTGGCTTTTTTGAAAGCGCCGTGTCTTGCGGCATATTCCGGGTCATCGATCCACGTGATGTGACAAACTAGCCGCTAGTAATGAATATGGGAATGTCATCTAGTTCAGGCAACCCGAGCGACAACTTCACGCGCTTGGCGTGTGTGTCGTGTGTGCCTGCTGCTCAAGCGGATCATATATCCTATCCCCTCCGTTTTGTGGTAACGCGGATATGAGCATATACACAACACACATACCACGGTCCGTCTGCATCCTCGGCCATCTACCGCCGTGCCGCATCACCCTATGTCGCCGCGCGGCGGCCGCCGACGCGTCGGCGCTCGCCTGCAGCTCGGTGTACGAAGGCGCCGCCTCGGGCTCCTCCCGCGTGCGGTGCAGCGCCGAGAGCACCTTCAGGAGCGAGGCGACGGGCACCGCCGCGGCGATGTGCCGGTGTAGCGTGTGGGAGCCGTTGGCCGGGTTGTACGACGGGCCCGAGATGCCCTTGGACTTGGCGAGGCAGTTCTTCAGATAGTTCGAGAGCGCGGTCTGCCCGACGTCGTGGTCGATGACCTCGAGCTGCACCAGCGTGCGCGTGGTGTGGGCGAGCGGCTCCGCCGCCCGAGCGGCGGCTTGACTGAGCAAGGACGGGACGAGGCCCTTGGCGAGAGCCAAGTTACGCCACTGCGGATCGTCGGTCGGAGGCTGCCATCGCTCGCGCAACTGCGCACAACACGCACACACGGCTCAGGCAGCAAGGCCGAGATAGAGCCGAGATATAGCCGAGATACAGCCGAGATATAGCCGAGGTGTAGCAGCCGCGGCGGCGGCTCAGGGGGCGGTGGGAGAGCAGGGCGGGCGCCTGCTCGTAGCGGCTCGACTGCAGCAGCACGACGTTCATCCACTGGTCGACGAGCGTCGGGACGGCGACCCACGAGCCGTCCGCGCCGCGGCCATGTAGCAGCACGAGCAGCGCCCATGCGTGCACCTCCGCCTCGCTGGGCAACGCCTTGCCCGAGGCGCACAAGATCGAGTTCCTGCGGCGCGCGCGCGGCAAGAGCTCGCCAAGGCGGGGCGAGCGCGGCCACGGCGAGGGCGGGCACGCACCGCTTCGATTCGGGCGCCCCGCGCTGCAGCGCCGCGCGCCGCTCAAGCTCGGCCTGCACGTTATGGAGGATCTACTGGAGCTCCTCGGTCGTGACATCTGCGGCACACACGCGCAAACCTGAGACCCCCACGGGCCCGGCGGCGGCGCGGCGAGCGGGGCGCGCGCAGGGGCACACACGGGCGTCGCAAACGCGCGGGCGCAGCGCGCCTGGAGCACCAGGAAGGGTGCCACCGCCGGCGCCGTGCTCCGCGTGATCACCTGCACGCACAGGCATCGCAGATCGTCAATGTCCCGCTGTGTCCCGAGCTTGGGGCTCGCGCTCCGGCGCCACGGGCTCGACGCGAGGACTCTGGAGAGAATGTCAGAGTGAGAGTGGATGAGGTTGGAGTGGAGGCGGCAATCGCCGTGCGGGCGCGCCGGGGGCTGCAGACTCCTCCAAAGCAGCGGGACGGGGCGCGCGCGCGACCGCGGGCCGGATTTTGCGGGGGAACTCGGGGGGAGGGCGCCCCGGACACGCCCTGCACGCGGCGCGGGCTGGCGCTCACCAGGAGCGGCAGCATTTGCGGTTTTCGACTTTGGTTTTTCTTTGCACGCCATCATTCTTTTCCCTTTCAGCGGCCTCACTTGTCGCATTTGCGAGGAAAGCAAGCGCGAGCGCTGCGGCGCCGGAGTCTTTCGGTCACCATTCTGGACCATCTTAATATTTTTCAATGATTTTTGCAGGGTCTGAAAGCTGAGACTCAGCTCTTCACGCTCGGTATGAAAGCAAGGTCCGTCCGGGGGGTCCCATTTTTCAGTATTTCCCCCTAGTTATGTGTTTTCTTTCTTTCTTTTTTACGAGGTGACAGGCGTACGCGAGAGTGTGCGCTGCATCCTGCAAGCAAGAGAGCAAGAGAAGAACAGCTCGCTCGCCCACGCGCGCCGCGCGCGTCTGCAGCGCGCCGCGAGCGCGCCACACCACCACGCCGCACGCCGACGACGATCCACCAATCTCCCGCCGCTGGCCTCTGCGCTCTGGCCTGGTGCGACTAGACCCAGCGGAGGCCCCGCACGCTCACCCGCCGCCATCGCCCGAGCGGGGGGGGGGGGGGGGGGACCCGCCGTGTTTCCTCCTTTTTCCGCCCCCCGCCCTCCCAGCTCCCCGCCCTCCGGGATCTACTCCGACTAACGTGGTGCCCTGCCGGCCCGCCGGCTCAGATGGAGGACATGGCCTGCTTGCGCACCTCCCGCGCCGCCCCCTCGCGCGCCAGCCCCGCCGCCTTGGCCGCCACCCGCCGCGTGGCCGCCTCGGACGGCACCTCGCCCATCAGCGAGCGGGCCCACCCCTCGAGCAGCAGCACGCGCGCCTCTGCGCGGCCGAGCCCGCGCGCCTGCAGTAGAACAGACCACCTCCCACATCTCCCTCTATCTCCCCATATCTCGAGGAGGGGAGGCGCCTGCAGGTAGAAGACCATCTCGTCGTCGAGGTCGGCGACGGTGGCCCCGTGCGTGCACACGACGTCGTCCGTCAGGATCTCGAGGTTGGGCGAGATGTCGACGCGCGCCGAATCTGAGAGGAGCAGCGAGCGGCAGAGCTGGTTGGCGGTGGTGTTGTCCGACCCGTGCGGCACCTGCACCGCCCCGCGAAACACAACCTGCGAGCGGCGGGGGACGGGGCGGGTGGTGGGGGGGGAGAGGGCTCGCAAGCGGCTGCACCGCGGGGCGGAGGGATCCCTCGCGCGGCCGGCGAGGGCGTTGCGCTGCTCCTGCTCGGAGGAGCCTGCAGGCCGACATGGAGGGCGTGAGAGGGGTGCGCTGGTGCGCTGGGTCGGCTGTTGCGCTGCGGATCAGAGTTGCAGTCGGGAGAGACGTGCCGCACGGCGGAGTGGAGGTCGAGCAGCTGCGACTCGGAGCCGAGGGCGATCCCGTTGAGGGAGGCGTGCGAGTGCCTCCCCTCGAGCCGCACCGCGAGGTTGACGCGAGAGAGGCGCCTGGCGCATACGGTATGGGTTAGGGTATGGGTTAGGGTTAGGGTCAGGGTTAGGGTTAGGGTCAGGGTCAGGGTTAGGGTTAGGGTTAGGGTTAGGGTATGGGTTAGGGTTGACGCGAGAGAGGCGCCTGGCGCAGGACGCACAGCCGCAATCACAGTGTGTGTGTGTGTGCAAGGGGAACAAGAGCCGAGGTCTGCGCGGGAGAGGGGCGCCCTCCTGGAGATATGGGGAGATATGGGGAGATATGTGGAGATATGGGGAGATATGGGGAGATATGGGGAGAGGGGCGCCCTCCCGACTGGACGATGTTCGCGTCGTAGCGAGCGCCGGCCGCGAGGGTTGCGAGCACCTGGCGGGCGGGGCCGAGGGGCGGGGTGGAGGGGCGGGGCCGAGGGGCGGGGTCGAGGGGCGGGGTCGAGGGGCGGGGCCGAGGGGCGGGTCGTCGGCCGGCGGCCTTGGAGCGTGCCGGGCGGGCTGGCGCGAGCAGCGAGTGTGTGGGGGGCGTGAAGGGGTGCGAGGGGGTGCGAGGGGGTGCGAGGGGGCGGGAGGGGGTGCGAGCAGCGCCGAATCGACGTGGACAGCGCCGTCGGACTGCTCCTGCGGGCCGAGGCGCGGCGACGCGTCAGGGGCTGCGGTGCGGGGCTTGGGGCTGCGGTGTTCGAGGCGGGCAGCTGGTGCGTGGTGTCTCGGCGACCTCTCGGCGATCTCTCGGCGCTATCGCGGCTCCACCTCGGCGGGCAGCTCCTGCAAGCACGCATACTATCCCGGCAACCTCTCGGGGGTCTCTCTGCAGCTGCCTGCAGGTATGCGTGCGTGAGCGAGGCATTCTCGCCGAGGCGCAGCCGCGAGAGGCCGTTGCAGAAATAGGCGCCGCGGCCGGCGTACTGCTGGAGCAGCGAGAGGGAGGCGCCGTCGCCGAGCCAGAGGGAGAGGTTGGGGTGGCTGGCGGCGAGCTGCGGCGAGGCGCCGGCCTCGGCGCCGGAGTCGGGGTAGGAGGGTGTGGAGAGGAGGATGAGGCGGAGCGTGTCTACAGCGACGCCGCTCGGCACCTGGCGGGGAGGAGGGGCGGGGTTGGGGGGGGGGGGGGGGCCAGGGGGGGTGACGGGCGGGCAGGGCGGGAGGGCGGGGGAAAGGCGGGAGGAGGCGGGAGGGGGCCGGAGGAGGCCGAAGAAAGGGCGGGAGGAGGCGGAGGCGCACATAGACGCACGCAACGTCGGAGAGGGCCGCCTGGTTGAGCGCGGCAAAGGTGTGGCAGCCGAGCTCCGTGCGCGGGTCCGCCTCCCGCTCCGGGATCTCCCGCAGCGACTCCAGCACCGCCTCCCTCACCTCCGGCGGCACCTGCTCGAGCGGGCCTGCGTACGCGCCGCCGCCGAGGGAAGAGGTGTCGCTGAGGTCGGCGCTGTAGACGCCGTCGACAAAGACCAGCCGCGGCCGCGCCGCCGCCGCCGCCTCCTCCTCCTCCTCCACGTACCCCGCCACGAGCTCGCCCACCCGGCCCGACGGGGCACCGAGTGTCGCGCCATAGAGCAGAGAGAGGTCGGTGCGGCGCCACGCCTCCTGCTTGCGCCCCGGGCGCCGCGCCGCGAGCACAACGTCGGTCGCCTCCGACCGCACCTCATCCAGCAGACCTGACGCCACAGAGCCACGCGCCGCCACCGCCGATCCAAGCCAGTCGTCCACCGCAGATTGAGTGAGCGTGCCGGCCTCGGCGCAGCGCACCGCGGCGCGGCCACGCGCAGACCCGCACAAGGGCGCCCCTGGCGCCGGCCGCTGCGAAGGCAGGTACGCGGCGCCGACAGAGGCGATGCAGGCTGTCAGCATCGCCTGCGATTGCCCTGGCCGGCCCCGTGCTTTTTCGGGAGATGTGCAGCCAGGTTCGTTGTGAAGACTGGGGCGCGCCACCCAAGAGCCTATAGGTAGGTGCGGATCGGCAAGAGCGCAATCGATCTTTTTGCCCTCTAACACCTTGGGTTGTAAGAACTTGAAACACACCACGCAGGGGCACAGCAAGCACGGATAGCCGCACTATCTTAGAGGAATACGCATTTCTGCGGCGAATACAAACGCGAGTACGCGCACCGGCGCGGACACACTGGGATTTGTCTGGCGGTGCTGCCCGCGCGGTCGGTACCGCCCTCTCGGCCACCCAAGCAGGTGGATAGGTGAGGAGACGCGCAGAACGGCGGCCGCGAGGCAGCCGGCGCGGTGCTCCCTCGGCGCGGTTCGCCGGAGCAGACTTTTGCTTACGGTTTGAGCCGCGGCCCGGTAGGTTGACTGAGCGGCTGGTGCGTGTGAGGCGGTGCTGGGCGGGGTTGGGTCGCCACTGCGCGATCCGGCCCCAGTCTCGGTTACGTAGACGCCTAGTCAGCACGTAGGATGATGCTGCCAACCCGAGCGCGCCCGGATGGCATTTCGGGCGGCCCTTAGCACCCCATTTTGTGCTTGGAGGTGCGGTCGCCTTTGTTGGAGTTGGCGAGGGAGTCGCCCTTGTACTCTCCCACCGTGACGTGCACGCCCGCGGCGGCCTGCTCGACGAGAGTGGGCGCAATCACCGACAAGTATAGCCCGTGCCTGCGCTGTATCGCCGTCAGGAACATCGCCGACACCATCTTCGTGTGGTGGAGTCCATCACAGGGCGCATGTCGAGCCACCCAGCGGCGCCGAACTGGGAGATCGAGATGTAGCGAGTCGCCTCCCTGGACTTAATCGCCTCCGACTGCGGCGTGTTTTTGTCAATCTCCTCGCACGCCGCCAGGCACGCGATCCACGCTTCGTGGGCCCCGACAGCAGCGAGCGTGCCCTGTTTCGGGACTGGAGAGGTGCTCTGTTGGCCAGTAGCAGGTTTGCCTCTCGCACCCCGTCTGTTTTCTTTCCTTTTTTCTCTACAGCACCCTCTCTTTTCCTCTCTATTTTCCCGGGAAAACTGCGTGGAAATCGTCAAATTTTGGGCTCTGAGCCGAGCCTGAGGCTGGTTTGGGCCCAAAATCAGCCAAATTTTAGGCCAAATCGGCAAAATGCCGGGAATTTCGCGGAGAGGAACCCGTGTATACCTGGAAATTACCCTGCGACCGCCTGGGTATTTTGTCGATTCCTCAATTTTGCCTCAGATTTTGCCCCAGACGCCAGACCAGCTCTCAGACTCAGGGAAACTCGCGAGTTTCCAGAATGACAAAACTCCAGAATGGAGCACCAAACACAACCAACAACACAAACACCCTCTGTTTTCCCTGGAAATTTCCGGAAACGCAAAGTGCTGGGGACCCTCTGTTTTCCTTTTTGTTTGCCGGAAAACCTGCTACAGGCCAAGCAAGTGCTCACGCGCAAAGAAAAGAGACGACGCATAAAAAAGAAAATGAAATCCGAGCTAATCATCTTCGATCGATGTCGGCACTTCTGTTCATCGCCAGTGCCGGCCTCGTGCTGCCCGCGCCTCCGCAGCGCGCGCACGCCGCGCGTCGCGCCGCGCCGACCACGATGCTAGACATCCCTCGCATCACGCTGCCGGCCGCCGTCGCGGACCCCATCAAGGACCTCGACCTCAAGAGCCCAAACGACCTCTCGCAAGCAGAGTACAATTCGTACTCCGCGGCTGCCATCGGAGGCACGCTCATCTTCTTCATCCTGCCCCTCTTTGACATCCTCGGCTTCTTTGGCGACTTCGTGTTCTCGGCGCTCGTCGGCGGCGGCGTCGGCGCCTATGCATCGCTTCGCAAGGTGTGCCCGGCCGGAGCCCTCACGCTCCCCCCTCACCGCTCGGTCCGCCATCCAATTCTCACGCCCGACCCGCTCCGAGGCTCTACGTGCAGCCCTGCGCGCAGCTCCTCCCGCCTCCCTCACTTTCCTCTCCCTTCCCCTAAGGATTCGGTGGGCGAGTATGCGAACAAGTTTGGCGGCGCGCTGCTGACTGCGGCCGACAAGGCAGCGGCGGAGGCGCCGGGCCTGAAAGACAAGCTGCAGAAGCTCGTCGACGACATCAAGAGCTAGAGCGCCGCTTGCGGCCGGCCCCTACCGTGGGAATGGGAATGATCTCTCGCTCAGAGGCGCTTGCCAGCATGAGCGCAGTCCTCCGAATGGCGGCCCGTGCCGCGCGGCGTTCTGCGGGCCCATATACGTTTTGCGACACTGCATGGACATGGCGGCCTGCCGCGAGGGCCGAGCACGCGTCGACGACCGTAGACCGAGAGCGAGCGCGCCCTGCACGGGAGGCGCCCGCCTCGGCCTCGCGCAACCCTGTGGCCTGTGCGCTGCCCGACCAGGCACCGTCGCCATGTCACCCCCCCCGTATGTCGCCATGTCACCCCCCGTTGTCGTGGAGCCCCCACCATGCTACGAATTGTTATTTTAAATATGGGGCACATCAGACATCCCATACTCGTTCGCTTTCGCATGCATCACGATGCCAGAAAAAAGAAAACGAGGGAGAGTGATCGCGAGAAGGACAGAGTCAGAGACTCCTCCCAGGAGGGGATTTGCAGTAAAGAATCCTACGAATACAAGCCCCTCTCACAGCGGACTGCAGGACGTTGCGGAGATCAGCAGGAGGATGTACGAAAAGATTCTAGCATCTAGGAGCAGCAGGGACCAATGGTTGGGTAGTAGGGGTAGAGCTAGAGGGTTGCCCAAAACTTAGACCTGCTCGCAGGCGAGCGCTGAACTAAGCCCCCGGAAGGAGGCGGGCTCTCAAACTTAGACGCTGTGGTGATCGGACTCACGTGTCACGAACTTAGATGACACGAGGTCGGCCAGTTCCGGGTCTCTGCAGGAGCCCCCCCCCCCCCCCCGGGCTCCCAGCCACAGCCCAGCCAGGCCGCCGCCCCGGTCCGGCCCGCGGTCTGCTAAATAAAAAGTGTAAACCCTGCATATTTTGCACGACCCCATGGGTCAAAAAGCTACCAGCGCCGTCGCGCACGCCCTCCTCTCAGCCTCCGTGCGCAAGTTGCGACGGCGCAGTGCCCGCGGCCGCCTCCCGCGCAGCACCGCCGCTGGGGACGACACGCTGCGGAATCGGATCGAGCCCATGCACCGGGCAAAGAAGGACGCTGCAGAAGCGGTTGGAGAGGCAGCCGGCGTCTGCCGTCACAACGAGTCCCAGCGCTGGTTTTGGACATGCGCGTCGGCTCGCCCGAGGACTGCTGTCGCGACCCTCCCGTCGTGACGCAGCCTCCGACGAGCTCTGCAACCGAGGAGAGTGAGGGTGCCTCCCCTCACTGCTGGCCTGGCTGCGCACCGCCCCACAAAGCACCCCCTCGAGCATCTCTACAAGTACAAGTACAAGGGCGACCTTCTCCAAGTCGTCAACACGCCCGGCGGCTCCGGCAAGACTTTAGCCTTGGCCAGCCTCCTTGCGGAGCAGGAGGAGATCCGCTCTCGGTCGGCAACGTGGCAGCTAGTCGCGGGACTCGGTAGTTGTGACCCCCCTGAGTGAGGAGACAGGAGAGAGAGAGCTTTTGTGGTGTTGGTGTACGCAATAACGGGACAGGGTAGTCGTTCTCTCGAGCTCCCCTTCTAGCTCTTAGCATGAGCTGCGCCCTGTGTCCGACCCCTTTTGCGCAGCAACACCTTACACTTTTAGGCTGCCCTCCAAATTCGGGTCGGAGCGTAGCGGAGTGGGCCCCGAGTTTGAAAAGGGCGACGGACGCTTGCGTCCTAGCCTCCAACAACGCCTGCCCGGCGCAGAGGGGCCCCCGGAGGGATGCTCAACCGCTCCACGCCACGCCGCTTGCGGCGGTCCTATTCCCGGCCGCCGCGTTTTTAGAGAGAGAGATTTTTAGTTGTTTGCGTTTTTATCACAGCGGAGCAAAACAACCCGACAACCCGCGCCATGCTCGACGGCGACAACAACGGCGACGGTCTCGTCGCGGTGTGCTCGCTGCCGCATGCGGGCGGCGTCGCGCGCTTCAGCCCGGACGGCAAGCACCTCGCTCTCGGAGCCGATGACGGCACCGTCCGCGTCGCCGCCACGGGCGCCGCGCGCGAGCACCGGACGCTCGAGCAGCTCTCGGTGGTCCCGGGCGCGACCCGCACCTACTCGGACCACGCCAAGGCGATCAACGACGTCGACTTCCACCCTCGCTCGCCGGTGCTCGTCTCTGCGTCTGCAGACTGCACGATGCGCTTCTTCGACTACGCCTCGGGCGCGCCGCGCGCCTCGCGCCAGTGCACCGACACGCACGCGGTGCACGCGGTCGCCTTCCACCCGTCGGGCGACCACCTGCTCGCCGCCACAGAGCACCACGCCATCCACCTGTACGACGCGGCAACCTTCCGCTGCTACCTCGCGCCGCAGCCGAGCGACCACCACCTAGCGCCCGTCGCGGACGCTCACTGGTCGGCGGACGGCTCGCTCTTCGCCTCGTGCGGCGGCGACGCCATCAAGGTGTGGGACGGCGTGACGAACCGCTGCGTCCGCACGATCGCCTCGGCGCACCTGGGCGCGCCGGTCAACACGCTCTGCTTTGGGGGCGGGGGGAGGACGCTGCTCTCGTGCGGCGCCGACTCGTGTGTGCGGCAGTGGGACGTGGGCAGCGGCAAGCTGCTCCGCGTCTTTGAGGGCGCGCAGCAGACGCGACGGACGGCCTGCTGCTTCTCGCACGATGAGGCCCTCGTGCTCTCGTCGGACGAGAAGACGGGGGAGCTGGTGGCGTGGGAGGCGAGCACGGGCGCGCAGCAGGCGCGCTACGCCGCGCACTCGATGCCGGTGCGGTGGCTCGCGCACTCGCCCGTGGAGGCGGTCGCGGTGAGCTGCGGCGACGACGGACTCGTCCACCTTTGGGCGAGCGCGTACCTGCTCTAGCGCCACAGGGGGCCGCTAGTCGGTCGTTTACGCATTACGGGGAATAAAACGGTCTGGAAAAAGAGAGAAGATTGGAGGAGGGGGCTCTCGGCGGTCGAAGGGGGAAAAAGAAAAACGAGCAAAGGCAGCGTATTGCTTTCCCCGGAGGCCGAGGTGGCCGTGGCGGACGCCCTTCGACCAAGGTGCCCACGACCAATTCGACCATCCGACCTGAGTCCTGACCCTCCTAGTCAACAGTCAACCCTCAACCTGACAATGCCGCAGTGGTACGCGGCACTCATCGATCACGGCTCTGGTTCCGGCGAACAAACACCGCACGCCGTCTTCGTCCGGTTCCGAGTCCATCACGTGAGCTCCGTGTCCTCAGACTCGTGGACTGGAGAATTCCAGGTGCGCGGGCGGTGGAAGCACTCGCTCGCCGGCGGCGCCACTGATGCGGTCCCGACGCAGCGAGACTGCGACAGCCTCGCCCAGCGCTTTGATTCGGAGGTGCCTCCGTCCTTCGCCGCGCAACTTTCGTCGTCTCACTTATACCGCTCACTTGCCCACCCTCCTTCGTCCGAGGCGAGCGCTGGCCCCGCCCTCCGCGCGGACCATCTCTGGTCGCCACGCCTCTTCATCTCCAACCTGGTGCAAGAGGGCTCGCTGGTCGACGCGTGGCACTCCGTCTCGCCCGCGGGCGCGAGCGCCGTGTGGGTCGAGCACCGGATGCGCGTGCACGGCCAGCTGCTCGTGCTGCACAAGGAGGAGGACGCGGGCCTCTGCCCGCTGCAGCTCGCCATCTGCGTCGTAGCGCAGCGGCCCTGCGTCGACTTCGAGGACGGGAGCCTTCTCCTCGACGACGAGAACCGGCGCGGCAGCCGCGTGATTGGGATGCCCTCCCTCCCGAGTGGCTTTGTCGGCATCAAGCTCCCCTTGAAGTTCCGCCCCTCGGACGGCACCTCCAGCTCCGCCGACGAGGAGCAAGGAGCGAGGCGCGCCGCCAGCTGCCCTCCTCCCCTCTCTCCCTTCATCCCTCCCCCCCCCACCTCCTCTCGACCACACCTCCCTCGTCGCGTCAGCGAACGGCCGTCGGTGGAGTGGATCGACGTCTACGCGAGCCGCACCCGCGGCTCGGGCGGCGAGCGCTGCGTCGGCGACGGCAGACGCGCGAACGCGCACCAGGAGAGGCGTACCTCCGCTCGCCGACCCCTCCACAGGACAGACGCCTGAGCCTCCTGCGAGCCTGCCTTCAGGAGGCCATCCTCCGCTCGGCAGACGCGACGCAGCGCCCAGTCCTCACTGCGCAGATCTACCTCGAGCGCATCACCGACGAGCGTCACTACCGCGTCCCGCTGCCGCCGCTGCCGGAGGAGCCGTCCGCCGGCCTTGCGGCTCGGGGCATCGCCAAGCAGGAGGCGGAGGCAGCGGCGAAGCGGGCGACCGCGCAGCGCGCGGCGGCGGAAGACCGAGCGAGCGACGCCAGCCTACCGGCGTGGTCCGCCAGCGCCGGCCCTGACGCCGGCCCGGACTCGATCGAGCCGGCGGATCCCAGCGTCGACCTAGATGCGAGCGACGTCTGGTCCGTCGGCAGCGCGCCGACGCAGCGCACGCCGCTGCTCTCCGCCGCCATCGAGAGCCAGCTCGAGGCGGAGCGGGCAGCGTGGCCAGAGCACCGCGACGTTCACCTTCGCCTCGACGTGGTGCGCGCGCGCGGCAGCTGTGCGTGCGGCGTCTCTGCGCCGCGCTCGCTCCGGCTCTGACGCGGGTCGGCGTGCTCAGGTGAGTTTGCACGGCGTTTCGCTGCTCGACCACGCCTTCACGGCGGAGGTCTTCGTCGAGCTGGTTTGGCGCGACGCGTCCCTCGGCCTCCAGGTGGGAGTGTCGCCGGAGCGGGCGGCGGAGGTGCTACAGACCGTCCTCGAGACGCCGGCGCTGTCGGAGCGCATCTGGCGCGCGCAGCTCAACCTGCGGAACCTCATGCACGAGACGGACGCCGAGCGGTGGTACGAGGTGCGCGTGGACCCGGAAGACCGCAAGCTCGCAATCGTCTCGTCGCGCGCCCGGCTCACAGGCGCCTCACGCACGGCGCCACCGCTGCCCTGCACCCCTGCACCTGCACCCCCCGCCCTCCCTCCCCCGGCCCGCACAGGCATCTTCCGGGAGCACTTCGAGCTGCACCACTTTCCGGTCGACGCGCAGGACCTCGCCCTCGACCTGATGGTCTCCTCCTCCTTCCACGGCGGCGAGGTGCGGCTGCAGCTCAACCGCGCGCTGCAGAGCCCTCTCGCCCTCCTCTCCGCCGACGTCGTCCACGACGAGTGCGTCCTCTCCCCGCGCCACCACCAACACCCCTTCACACATTCTCGCAGGGGGCCGCCGCCCCGACCCACCGCCGCTGTGAGCAGGTACGTTCTCGCGCCCCACATCTTCTACCAGCCCGCAAGGTCGGGCTACGTGTGCCCCGCCAAGCGCTTCGCCACCAAGGGCGACCACACTGCCCCCTCGCGGCTCCGAGGGCGAGCGGCGCCTCGCCACGTGGCCCTCTCCCGCGCGAACAGGCGGCTACCACCGCGTGCACCGAGAGATGAACGAGGACTGCTGCGGCTCGCGCCCGGTGTGGGCAGCTACGCCGGGGCAGGCGGGGGGCTCCCTCTCGGCGGCGCCGTCGGACGGCCGGGTGCCGGCCGCGGCCCTGCGCATGTCGATGCGCCTCGCGCGCCGGTCGTCTTACTACACGACTCACGTGGCGCTTCCCCTCTTCATGATCACCAGCGCGCTCTCCGCCTCCTTTTGGGTCGACCCGATGGAGGCGGACGTCTCCTCGCGCCTCTCTATCACGCTCGTCCTCCTGCTCACCATCTCCACCTTTCGCGACACCGTCAACGCCATCGTGCCCCGCATCAACTATGCGACGGCCATCGACAGGTACTTCTCCCTCTCCCTCGTCCTCGCCACGGTGACCATCGTGCAAAACGTGACGGTCGGGTCCGTCGTCTTGAACGCGCCGCTCGCCGCGCCCGGACAACGCTTCCATAGCCTCTGCCACACCCAGAGTGCTCGAGAATAGGCCAACCTGCTAAAGCACTTCCGCGAGGTGGAGGACGACGAGCTCTGGTTCGACCACGACCTAGAGAACCTCGAGTCGACCGTGCTGGACTACATCAGGGTGCAGAAGCGGTCGTTCCTCTGCTTTTGGGTCCTCTGGGGCGCGTGCAACGCCTACGCGGCGGTGCGATTCGTCACCTTGCGCCGCACCGCCGCGCAGTACGTGGGCGATTGTCCGCACTACTGGACCGCCGGCGGCGACTGTGCCGTGTGCGGACTCACGCACCCCGCCCCAGACCCGGCCCTCGCGCCGGGGCCGGGCGCGGCGCCGCGCGTCTTCTCGTCGCGTTGCCCCAAGTGCCGCTACGAGTGGAGGTTCGAGGCGGCGGCGCAAGAGGGGCAGGGGCAGTTTTATCGCTGCCCGCAGTGCGGCAACATCGAGCAGGGCAGGCCGCCGTCCCGCTCCGCGCTCGGCCTGCTCTCAACCTGCTTCTCGCGACGCGGCGTGTCTCGCGGCAGCGCCGACGACGACAAAAAGGCGTCGACGCGCGCCCTCGCACTCGCGCTGGCGGGCCGGACTTCAACGGGGTCGGCGCCTCAGCTGCCCAGCTTGCGTGAGGGCCTCTCGTCATCTTTGCTCGTCAGCTCGCGCTCGTCGACCGCGCAGGGCGAGGGCGCCGCACACGCCGCGGCGCGCGAGGCGGGTTCGCGGCGGCGCCGGTCGAGTGCAGTTGAACTTCGGACCGTCACGAGGGCGCTGGTGTAGTAGAGGGCCGAGTTTCTAGCTCACACGTGCTCACCGTGATATATAATAAGTGTACCCTAAGTTTCTCCGAGACCTCGCGAACGGGCAGTTATTCACACCTCGGCAGTGCGTGGTTTGGGCCAGTTTGGGCAGGGCAGCTGCAGTGTGGGTTTCACACCCGGGGCAGGTAGGGGATCGGGCAGGGCAGTTGTGCGGCAGTGTGCGGGCAGGGCAGTACGGCAGGGCAGGGCAGGCGACGAGCCACGACCAACGGCAACGCGCCCGAGTTACCTCCTGTGTCCTGAGATCCGTCTCGTGCGTCGTGGTGATCTGCTGACCTGCTTTGCGGTTTTGTTGGTCAACTCTGCCACCAGAAAAAAACGACCCAAGGTGCACGCTAGCGGCCACCGGGAGTACAGCGATGCGACGGCGACGCGGAGACCTCTAGGCAGCGGCACCGGAGCCGCAGCCGGCTCGTTGTCCGCCCGGCAGGCACCGCCGCGCCAGAAACGCGTCGATCTCCGCCGCCACGCGGGCCGGCCATCAGTGCAGCCAAGGGTCAGCAGGGAGGTGCGGTCGCGGAATTTGCCCCTCAGGGCGCAGAGCAGCAGCAGCAGGGCGCATACAACTACTACAGCTCGTGAACCTGCTGCGGCGCGGGCGACCGCTGCCGGGACGCGCGGCTGGGGCAGTGCGCCGACCGATACGGCAGACCGAAGGCTCCGGTGGGCTTCACCGGCGATGCGGCCGAGGACGCCACCTCCGGTCTCCTCGGGTGGGTGGACAACTTCAAGCCTCCAGTTACCGTCAGCGTCGGCCTAAAGTTCAGACTGACGGGCTCATCGCGAACGTGCGACTGCTACACTTGCGCCGGCGATCCGTGCTCCCCCTCCTCGGGCAGCTCTACCCACCGCTGCAGCACCTGCGGCCCCTCAACCGCCCACTGCAGCGGCAGCCGCGACTCGAAACAGATCGGATGCTGGTTCTCGGGGTGAGGCATAGCTACCCCAACGCCCTGCGAGCTTCCCCGCGCCGCGCGCTTACACGCGTGTTACTTTTTTGAACAGTTGCCGAGCGCCCGCCGCCAGCAGCTTGCGTCGAGGGAGCATACGACAGGTGCAATGCGGCGAGCTCTCCACCTCAGCTCGCTCTTCTTTGCCGCTCTTACGGCTGCCAGGGACAAGGTCTTTTTCCTCGGACCAATGAAGACAGGCACCACGAGTCTGTCCAAGCTCTTCACCGAGAGGGGCTACAAGACTTGCCACGGTGAATGCGCGGGTGAGACGTGGTCAACAATGACACACGCACACAAGGCGGACTCAAAGTCCCTGAGAGACCACGACGCCTTCATGGACCATGGAGACCACACTGACTTCGAGTGGCTCAACCAAACGTATCCGACTGCGCGCTTTGTGCTGAACACGCGCTCGCTGAGGAACTGGGTCGTGAGCAAGGCGGACCATATGCGCCGCAAGCGTGTGAGTGCTGGCTGCCCCCCGTGGGGCTCGGACTGCGCAAAGGACCCACACGGGTTTGTGTCCAACTCGAACACCACGATCCGGCGCTGGATCATATCGCAGGCTGAGCACCAGCGTAGGGTGCTGGACTTCTTCAATGGCTCGCGCTCCCTGCGCAACCGCTTTGTCGTGGTTGACGTGGAGGGGCAGAGCGCTCGCTCCCTCAACCTCCTGCTGGACTGGGTGACGAGGTCCGACGTCAGCACCAGGAAAACGACGGACCCCGTGCGTACGCCGAAGTCAGTCCCGCTCAGCCACGCCGTGCACCACACAGAGGCCCCAGACGCGAACAGCAACGCGCACTCATCCGACACGAGGACTCGCGTGACGGATGTGCTGCGGAGCCTCAGGGTGCCTGCGTCGTGTTGGGAGGATACACTCTACTTTGGTTGCCTTAAGGGCATGACGCTAACCCGCTCCGAAGTCGCGAAGCGGCACACCGGCACTGATATCTTCTCTCTGATGCGCTGATATCTTCTCTCTTCGTGTGACCGCTCTTACTAAATGTACTGATAGAAAGACATCCTCTGTGAGAAGTAACAGCTAGCGTGGAATCAACACGATATAAAAACTCCGAGGAGGGACAAGGTAAACGGAGGTGGTGAGGTGTTAAGGTAAGGTAAGGTAATAAAAGGTAAGGTAAACTTCTCCACACACACGAGGTGGTGGGGCAAGGGGGGGCAACCCTCGCGTCTCCACGTCTGACGACAGGATCCCCACGGCATTCAAAGTGCAAGGCCCAGTGCGCGTGGGGCCGAGCGTTTTTGACCTCTCGGTCTGTGGGGGGCCTGTATGACGCTCAAGGAGTGAGGCGCGGAGCGCCGCGCGCGGAGCGCGCCCCGAAGAAAATTTTGAGGGTTGTGGAGGGCTAGGTAGATGCGATTTCTATTAAGAGTTTGACTCACACGCTGGAACCACTCGGCCCACCCACAGGCCCAATCTCAAGTGGCGGCGCTCCGCACCTACCCAGCGGCGCGCTCCGCGCGTGCTTTCCAGCGGCGCGCTCCGCGCGTGGCTCTGCGGCAGTGCTACTGCATCTTCCGCAGCTCCAGCAGGTATCAGCAGTGAGTTCACCGCCAGTTATCTGCGCCTCCGTTCGTCGCTCTCGTGCTTGATCGTCAGGCCGTGCTCTCGCGTCCGCCGGAGCTACCTCGGCTATCGGCACCATTTTACAAGTTTGACCGCCGACATGTCGCGGTCCGGCTCAGTCAAGGCAATGTCGCTCGGCGTCGCTGGCTCCGTGGATGCTTGTGCTGCTGAGCAATCCAGGCGCACTTTGGCAGCCGGCGGCAGCGACTTGCGGCGTCAGCATTCGAACGGTTGTGTTGATTTGCTCTTGCTCCGCGGTATCTATGATGGCTGAGTTACGAACGGAGACCCCAAGCAGCTCCAGCGTGCCGTAGACGGTGATGTTGCCATTGACCAGAGCGGCTGAGAGGCCCTCATCCCAGCCCAGCACCACCCGCCTGTGAGCAGGCACCTGCCACTCCAGGTCTCCGACGCGAGAGCTCTGGTTCCGAGTCGGCGGGAGGGAGGGCTGCGAGAGGCTCAAGGTGCGCACATCCGGCCTCGTGAGGTGCAGGGCAATGTACTCACTGATTGTCGACGATTCCTCTTCCCAGTACTGCTCAAATGACTGATGGTCGCTCTCCACAAACGTCGGCACCTCATACGTGCAGCGTTCAACACCATCGGCCGACTCGATCGAAATCGCGACGTCAGCAACGGCGGCGCAAGGGTCGGAAGAGCCAGCGAGCTCTTCCATGTCGAGGTCAAGCCGCCAGATGCGCTCCTGCGAGAAGTGGAGGCAGTCACCGGACGCGTGCGGCGCGCAAAGCATCGGACACTCGAACAGGTCCGTGGCGCTGAGCTTCCAGATTGGCCTACCGAATCGCTCGAGGCTGATGGAGTGGACACAGACTGCTGGGAACTGGGGTGGTGGCATGGCCGGTGGTGGTGATGCGGGCGGCGGAGACGAGGGCGGCGGAGGAGGAGGCAGTGGCGGCAGCGGCGGCGGCGGCGGCTGCGGCGGCGGAGACGGCGGCGGCGGCAGCGGCGGCAGCGGTGGCCACGGCGGCGACGGCGGCGACGGTGGCGACGGCGGCGGCGACGGCGGCATCAGTGGCGGCGAGTCGGGCGACGGCGGCTCGCAAGTCCATTGCGAGCCTGCTGCGGCTGAATTACTACAAAAGAAGCCACCACCATGTTCCTCAGCAAGTTGAAAGCAGCGTGGCTCCGCGGTCGTGCAAATGCAGCTTCCAGTAGAATCTTCGCAGTTCGCGCCATCGCCGCCGCACAACCCGGAGGCTGTGCCGCAAATCGGCGGGGGCGGCGGAGTCGGTGTCGGAGGAGAGGACGGCGGCGGCGTGGGAGGCGGCCTCAGCTTCTTGTACGCCCACAGGTCATCACGGATGTCTGCGATAGGTGCCACGCGAGTGTCGTCCCACACCTTCCTCGCCAGGCAATACTGCTCGCCATTGTGAAGGTAGATTGGCCTGCAGACCGCACCGGCGCACTCGTCCCAAGCGCCGCATTTCGCGTCTAGCTCGGTTTCGAGGATCGCGCATTGGTTGTGCCAATCTACCTTGAGGCAGTAGGCCTCGTCATAAATGCACCTACCGCCGTGCTCGTTCACGTAGTCGACGCCCTCGAGGTTCCCGTAGCAGGCGGGTGCGGAGCCGGGCTGCCCGACGTCGATGCACGCGAACATAGAGCCGTTATAACTCCCAGGGCAGGGAGGCGGCGGCGAGGGCGGCGGCGAGGGCGGCGGCGAGGGCGGCGGCGAGGGCGGTGGCGAGGGCGGTGACGCAGGCGGCGGAGGCGAGGGCGGCGGAGAGGGCGGCGGCGGCAACAACGGTGGCGAGGGCAGATCTGGCGGCAGGAGCGGCGGCGTAGGTGAGGCTGGTGGTGGCGAGGGCGGCGGAGGTGAGGGCGGCAAGGGTGGCGGCGGCGGCGGCGGCGGCGGCACAGGCGCATTTCCAGGCGGGAACGGTGGCGGTGGGTATACCACTGATTGCAGGGCAAATTCGCCGGGTAGGCTGCCGCTGACGGCGGAGAACACCGTTGCATCCCACGTGGTTGGGTCGTCGCGACGCTTTGCGAGCCGAGGCTCGTCGCCGCCCCCGTCGAGCTGCTCCACGAGAATTCCGAGCTCGCTGCGTTCATCTGAGAGACGCACAACTAGCTTGGTCTCACCGTGGCTGGAGGGATGGACCCATCGAGTGAGGCGGTCGCAGCCAGGAGAAAAGCCAAAATCCAGTCGAAGATCCCGCGGCCCGCTGTATGGGCCGTCGGCCGTGCTGGCCAAACGAAGGCCGGCCGGCACCGGCGTGACAAGCACCCGCGAGCAATTTGCGAGCTCGCCGGGCTTCATGACGGCTAGCGGGTGGACTTGGACGCGCTTCACGATGACGTCCTGCGAGCCGTTGTTGATCACGTGTACCCGAGACGGAAGAAACTCAAAGGCGCCAAGCTCGTACGTGCACTCTCCTTCGACGCACGTAGGTTCAAGCTCGCTGTCGCTGAACCACCGCGAGCCCTCCAGCGGGAAGGAGTCGAGGCCGACCAGGAAGGTGTGCTCGCTAGAGCTTCCCGCCAGCGTCAGAGCGAACCGGCCGCCACCCCCCTCGGACAACGCGCCGCGACGCATCTCCTCCTCGCCTGTGGCGGTGAAGCCACCCGGCAAGCCAATCTCGCAATCGGAGCAGTCCAGGATGAGCTGGCTGGCAGCTAGCGCCAGCTGGAAGGCAGCGAACGAAGGAAACGCGTGCGCTACTCGCCAGCCCCGCACCAGGTCGACGCGCGAGAACGGCCAATCGCGCCTGGCCACGGCACAGAGCGCTGCTCCGTGCCCAGTCTCGAGGTTGCCGCATCCGGCAGATGAAGCGCACCACTTGCCATCTGAGGACGTCCATGCTGCTGTGGAGCTCGCTGCAACGTCCTGAGCGAGACGTCTGGCGATACCAAGGGCATCAACGCCCAGCATGTCCACTTGTGCCAGCGCTGCGCCGTCCTCGGCACACCTGCGGGTGGCGTTGTCGCGCGTGGCCAGGTCGTCGTCAAAGAAGGCGACACATGGCCCGGCCTTGGGGCTGGCGTGGTACCCGTGTGGACACGTGGAGTACGTAACCGTGCTTCTCTCTACAACGGCCTGAGCCGCGTCATTCGTCAGCTCGACGACTCCAAGCTCGCTGTCAAAGCTCTCAATGTTCCGGAGAGAAAGGGCACCCTCGACCTTGAGTCGACCGTTGAACGTGCCCAGGTCCTCGAGCACGAGATGCGCCCCCGCAGGCACACTAATGCTGCCCACAACCTCGCTCTCGTCGTCGGCATCTTCGCTCACGCTAGCACCGACAATGTGGATCGGCATGGCGGCTGCAGGAACTTCGAGAGAACCGACGTCGAGCTTCTGCGAGAGAATGTTCTTTACGTCGACCCTGACATCCAAAGTCTCTCGCTCGCCCACTCGCTGAAGGATGTCGAGCGCCTCGGAGGTGCTGTGTGGAAAGTAGGTTGCAAAAGGCGGCGGCGGCGACGGCGACGGTGGCGTGGAGGGCGGTGGCGGCGTAGGCGGAGGAGAGGGCGGTGGTGGCAACGGCGAGGCGGAGGGCGGTGGCGGCGTGGGCGGAGGAGGCGCAGGTGGCGGCGGCGACGGCGGCGGTGGCGACGGCGGCTCGCAGGTCCATTGTAATTTGGACGAGCCTGCTGCGGCTGAATTACTACAAAAGAAGCCACCACCATGTTCCTCAGCAAGTTGAAAGCAGCGTGGCTCCGCGGTCGTGCAAATGCAGCTTCCAGTAGAATCTTCGCAGGTCGCGCCATCGCCGCCGCACAACCCGGAGGCTGTGCCGCAAATCAGCGAGGGCGGCGGAGTCGGTGGCGGAGGAGAGGACGGCGGCGGCGAGGGAGGCGGAGGGGCAGGTGGTGGTGGCGAGGGCGGCGGAGGGGCAGGTGGCGGCGGCGTGGGCGGCGGTGGCGACGGCGAGCCGGAGGGCGGCGGCGGCGAGGGAGGCGGAGGGGCAGGTGGCGGCGGCGCGGGCGGCGTCGAGGGTGGAGGCGGCGAGGGTGGCGGAGGCAACGGGGGATGGGAGGGTGGCGGTGGCGAGGGCGGTGGCGGAGAGGGCAGCGGCGAGGGTGGCGGCGAGGGCGGTGCACTCGGGGGTTCCTGGTGTACCACGAGGATGACGTTATCATAAAAGTAATATTCATCCTCGACTGACTGCAGCTGACGACGTCGTCTTGTCCCGCTGCTCGCGTTAATCGCTAAGCGGCAGAGCTGGTATGTGCCCGCAGGCGCGTGATTCGCGAGGGGCGCCAGCGCGTCAGTTGTGTCCGGGCCCGGGTTGACCAGAACCAAGTCACTGAGGAGCACGAACTTTCCTGTCCCGGGAGGCTCCTCCCTCTTCTCGACAACGCCTCCATGGTCGTGGATGGTGCCGTCCCAATCACCATCGACCGAGTTGCCGAAGCTGTTCGTGATTGAGAAGGCCGAGGTGTTGAAGGCTTCATCGCACTCCTTGCCCTTGTGTTCGGCTGCATACTCCAGGCTCACCCACGTGACGCGGTCGCCCTCTTCGACGACGCCGCCAGCAAACTGCACCGCATAGAAGCTCCCTGTTCGGATGATGGTCGCAGAGATGTTTACCTCCGCTCCCTCCTCGACGGTGACAAGGATCCGAGGCGGAGGTGAAGGGGGCAGCGAGGGCGGCGGCGGCGGCGGTTGCGAGGGCGAGGGCGGCGAGGGCGGGGGCGGCGAGGGCGGCGGTGGGTTTGGCGGCGGAGGGGCAGGTGGCGGCGGTGTGGGAGGCGGCGGCGAGGGCGAGAGCGAGGGCGGCGGCGGCGACGGCGAGAGGGAGGGCGGCGGCGGCGGCGGCGGCGGCGGAGGCGGCGGGGGAGGCGCCTGCGGAGAGTTCGAAGGGGTCTTGGGAGGGAAGGATGGTGGCGGCGGGTTTGGCGGCGGGGGGGCGGGTGGCGGCGGCGTGGGAGGAGGCGGCGACGGCGAGAGCGAGGGCGGCGGCGGCGAGGGCGGCGGAGGGGCAGGTGGCGGCAGCATGGGAGGCGGCGGCGAGGGAGAGAGCGAGGGCGGCGGCGACGAGGGTGGCGGAGGCGCAGGTGGTGGCGGCGAGGGCGGCGGAGGGGTGGGTGGCGGCGGCATAGGAGGCGGCGGCGAGGGCGAGAGCGAGGGCGGCGGCGATGAGGGTGGCGCAGGGGCAGGTGGTGGTGGCGAGGGCGGCGGAGGGGCGGGTGGCGGTGGCATGGGAGGCGGCGGCGAGGGCGAGAGCGAGGGCGGCGGCGGCGAGGGTGAGAGCGAGGGCGGCGGCGATGAGGGTGGCGCAGGGGCAGGTGGTGGTGGCGAGGGCGGCGGAGGGGCGGGTGGCGGTGGCATGGGAGGCGGCGGCGAGGGCGAGAGCGAGGGCGGCGGCGGCGAGGGCGAGAGCGAGGGCGGCGACGGCGAGGGCGAGAGCGAGGGCGGCGGCGATGAGGGTGGC